CTTGTTTAGGCTCATGATTATTTCTCCTGCTATTTTGAATTTACCTGAAGCATAATATATTTTGCTCCAAGCCCTCATTTTTTTCTGTGTGAATCTTTAAATTTCAGGTGTGTTTTGTTAAATAACTTCTTGGATTCTGATTTCCAATCTTTTCTACTATTCTTTTCCATTTTATGAGTGAGTTAATCCCATTTATGTTCACAGTTATGATGGTTAATTGTGTATTTCCCTCTGTCATATCCTCTTATACTTTTCCCTCTCTTTTCTCATTTCCCCTCTTTAGATAGAAGAAAAAGGTGGTGAAGCTGAAGGAATATGATCATCACTAGTGATCTGTAATTGAAACAATCTGTTTCCGCTCAACTACCCTTTCTCTCTTTTTCTTGCTCAGATCCAGACCCAGATCTGTGTTTCATAAAATTTTTATCTTTCTTTTTCATTTCCTTATTACAACCTGGAGTTGAAGATTGTTTTACTTTTTGCCTATTCTTATCTCTTAAACCTCTCCCTTTCTTTTCCCTACCCCTGCCTATTAACTGTTGAATTAAACAGTGTCAAATTATTTGTAGGCATGTGCTTAACCCTTCTTTGTCCAGATTAGGTAACAGTGAGCTTTTCTCTACTCTTTTCTTCATGTTTGTGTTCTCTTTTTCTCATAGACCTCAACTATGAGACATAGTAAGTTCTACCTCCTTCTTCCTCATATCTTCCATAGGGTGTTCCCCCCCCTTTTTTTCTTTGCTGAAAACCATCAAAACAAAACAAAATCATTTTATTCTGTATGACTTATCTAATTTCCTCTATGATTCTTGACATTATGAGGCTGAACAGTTGTCTTTTCTTCCCCTCTTAGAATGTAAAGATTTGATCATTGTTTACCTCCTTCTAATTACTCAAATATATTTACCTACCTAGGTTTCTCCTGATTACTGGGTTTGCATTTCATAGTTTCTATTCAGCTCTGGGCTTTCATTAGGGATTATTGAAAGTCTTCCATTCCCTTAATGGTCCAATGCTTTTCCTGTAGGATTATATTCAGTCTTGCAGGATAAATTATTCTTGATTATAAACCTTAATCTTTTGCCTTTTGTAATATTGCATTACAGTATAGTGGTTGTTGCCCAGAATGATTCTGGGCATGTTTCCTTGGTACTTGAATTCAATATTTCTGGCTGCTTGCAGTATTTTTTCTTTGACCTTGAAATTCTGTATTTAGGCTATGACATTCTTAAAATTTTTCACTCTGGCTTTTTTTTTTTTGCAAGAAGTGACAGGTGGGTTCTATTTTTACTTTGCTCTCTGGTTTTAATAAAGTGAGGCATTTTCACTTATTACTTCTTGGAATATACTATCAAACCTTTTTTTTTTTAAATCACAGGTTCAAGAAGTCTGATAATTCTGAAAGTCTTCTTGAATTTTTTTTTTAACAGATCAGTTGTTTTGGATAGTAGACACCTTACATTTTCTTCTTTTTTTCCTCTCAATATTTTGATTTTGTTTGAGTTCTGTTTAATCTATTCTAATTTATAGGAAGTTCACTACTTGGGTAAGATTTTTCATCTTCTCTTCTAGGTTACTTCTTCTTCTTCTTCCAGAACTCTTATTTCACTTTTTTCTTTTGCTTCATTTCTCCTAGGTACTCTTATAGTCCTTTTGCCCAAGGTATTTTTCCCCCTGAGGCTCTACTTCTACTTGTGGAGTTATTCTCTTCTCAGTTTTCCTCTGGAATGCTTTTGATACATATTTTTTTTTTCAAAATGTTCATTATCTTCTCCTCTTTGCTCATATCTCTAGCTCCAGTTTTTTGTTTTGGACTTTTTTAGACCAGAGTCTGTCCTGTCCCACACTCTTTGATGTGGTAGTCAGTTCTGGTTTCCTCCTGATCTCAATTTCCTGGTCTCCTGTATCTGGGCTCACAGTGCAAGTAGGCTTCAGTGTAAAAGGCCAGAGCTCCGAGGCTGGCTATCCTCAATCAGGGTACTGTTACGGTCTTCTATATCCCATGGGCCTTCCTTGTTTGGAGTGTTGCTGCAGTCCTTCTGCTTGTTTACCTGCGCTTGTGGTGGATTTCCTAGTGGGATCCCTTCCAGCATTGTGAATTTTGGATGCATTTTTGTGCAGTCCTGGTCTAAGAAAAGGAGCTAGTTAATCTTTCTCTTTGGATTTCTTCCATTTTTCAAAGTGGTGCTACCTTTAGATCATTGCTGGAGTATATGGGGAAGATTTAGATTCTTCCATGCCTCTATCTTACCTGGAATTCTCTTCTCTGAAGTTTTCTAAATAAAACATTATGTCACCTGCAAAAGGGTTTAAGTGGGCCTTCTCCTTACCAATGTTTATACTTTTCTTTCCCTCTCTTGAATATATCTAGCATTTCTAGAACTAAATAAAATAGTAGTGGGAGACAGGATACTTGCTTTATCACTATATTATTGGGAACGCTTCCACTGTTTCTCTATTGCAAATAATACTAGCTCATTTAAAAAGAAAAGTTGTCATTTGAAGAGAACAGGGGTCATATTACAATATTTTAAATTAATGGATGGTTGGGTGTTTTTCTGATTCATTATTACTGTAAATAAAGTACAAATCACAGACTTTGCCTTAAAGCAGTTCCAAATGGTGTACAGTGTTAGAGGATTCCTTAGTATTAAAATTTTTCATATCCTGGTACCTTAAACCCAGGGTCCTAAACTACTTTATAAATCACAGTTTCCAATGGCTTCCTATTGCCTATGTATAAAGCCAAAATTGTTTCATCTGGCATTTAAAGACCTTTATAAACTGGCACCTCCAACTTTTTAGTCTTATTTCATACTGATTTTATTCTGCCAAAGAGAATAGCTATCATATCTTGTATATATCCAGTGCTTTTTCTACCTTTTTATTTTTGGTCACATCATTCCTTATTGCTGTAATACCTTCCTTCTCCAGCCTGTTCTAATTTTGAAATCATACCCATGCTTCAGGGCTCAACTTGGATGCTGCCTTCTCTATGAAATCTCTGATATCTCAGTAGGAAATGGTTTTTTCTTTTTTCATCCTCTCATCTCATCATTGCTAGAATTTATATAGCCCTTTAAGGTTTGCAAGGTGCTTTACGAATATTATTTTATTCTCACAACAACTTTGGAACATAAATTTTATTATGATCCCCATTTAACAGATGAGGAAACTGTGGCAGGCAGAGGTTAAATGACTTGCCCAAGGTCAGCAGCCAGTAAGTGTCTGAAGTCAAATTTGAATTCAGGTTCTCCTGACTCCAAAGCCACAGTACTATTCTACCTATACCTACCTGCCTATTATATTAATTTTTAATATTATTTGTCCCTTTCTTATGCTTTTGTTCCATTCTATTCCGCACTACAGTTACCTTATATATTATAAATATAAGCATATGTACTTATATATTATCATGTTATATATCATATGTCATATATATTATCATATAGTACTGTGTTCAAATAGCATATTCTCCTCCCTAGATGTTGTTTCATGAGGGCAGGAGCAGTTTTATAATCTTTATAAGTCCCCTAGCACATACACACAGATCAAGCACTTAATAAATCTTTCCCTGTTTTATGATTAATTCTTCTCTATTTTCCTTTTCTTTTTAAATTAATGCTTAACAGTTACTTGGGAGTAAACCTAAAACCAGAACGCTCTATTGTAATCCTGAATTGATCTTTCCATAGATTTGCTACAGCTGTCCTGGAAGTCCTCTAGGATAAAAAGTGCTACATGACAGTAATAATGCCCTGTGTTTTTCATTTTTCAAGCATACCACAACCATTAAATAAATAATAGTCATAGCCCCTGGGAGATGTGATTTGTAAAGTACTTTGGGGTCCTTTGGTTAAGGCACTAGAGAATGAGGTGTCAATACTAAGGAACCCTCTGTTCCCTTATCCCCACACTTACCCCCCCACCCCCCAATGGGGTACTACAGAAACAACACTTGGAAAGATCAGGACTGTTCAGAGAGTATATGCTTGTCCCCTTCTCCCACCTTTCCCTCTCTAATGAAGTTTCTGATTTATGGCTGCTGTGGTTTGTCATTGAGGTTGCTTCCAGTGATTTACTTAAGAAAATCCTGAGAATTCACTGAGCGTGGGGAAAGTCATTAGGACGTCTGGAAACGGCGAGGGAAAGAATACTTTGAGACCTTCGTAAACTACAGGTCAAGGGAAGTGCTGCGCTTTTCATGGAAAGTACCATTCTGAATTGTACTGGAATTTAGACAGTTGCCCAGGTAATGGGGTTTATAGGGAGTACTGCAAGGCTTCCTGGGGGGCGCGCGGGGTGGGGGTGGGGAACTGCAGTAAAAAGGGAATGGTCTTCCCACCTTCTTCACCTCCATCCCTGCAGAGGATTCTGTCCGACTGATATCCCTACCAGTTTTCTGAAGTTACTGGAACCACCCCCCCCTTTCCATGGAAACCCTGTCACAATATAGCGTCGATCATTCCCGTCCCCTTCTCTTTTTATCGACTCTTCTTTACCACATCCATACGCCTTAGCCTCTCCATCCTTGCCTCTTCTTCTCACCATCTACCCCTTCGTCTGCTCTCATGCGGTCTCTTGATTGCCCTCTTCCTATCTCCGCCCCACTTAAATTATACACCCTCTTGGCTCGGGACCTGAGCTGAGCATCTCTGTCTCTCCTCCCACCTGCTCAGTCCTCCTCGTCCTCCTCTTCCCTCTCTCCCTTTTTCCTCCCCCCATCTTCCTCCTCCTTGCTCTCTTCCCGGTCCTCCTCCTCATTCGCACGCGTGTCCCGGAGGACCTCCCGGGCCTCCCACCCCTGTCCCAGCCTCGGGGTGGGAGGAGGGGTGGGGTATGGACCAAGGCTCCCTGCCTGGTGGCACGCGCCGCCGGCTCCCCTGCTGCATCCGCCCTCCCATTGGCTGCCGGGGTCGGGGCGCTCCCTCCCCGGCTCCCCATTGGCTGGAGCCGCCGCGGTCCTCTCCGCGCAAGCAGTCGCTGACATCACGCCGAACCTGGCCGTGGCGGCGGCGGCGGCGGCGCCCCCTTCCTTCCCGCAGCCCCTCGGGCTCGGCTGAGGCCCCTCCGCGGTGCCGGGCGGAGGATGGTGCGGGGCGCCCCGGGGGCTGCCAGCCGCCACAGCCGTAGCTCCCCGGCACAGCCCGCAGCCTCGGGCAGCCGCCCCTGCTGCACCGGGCTCCGTCTGAGGGGCCGAGGCTGAGGTTGGGCGGGCAGCGCGGGCGCCTAGGGTAGAGGGGACCGGGGCCGGGGCCCCGAGCGGAGACGCCCGAGGCTATGGGGGCCCTGACCAGCAGGCAGCACGCGGGCGTGGAGGAGGTGGACATCCCGTCCAATTCCGTGTACCGCTACCCGCCCAAGTCCGGTGAGAGCTGAGGGGAGCCGGGGGCCAGGGCGGAGCTGGGCGTGACCTCTGCAGGCAGCTGGGGGCAAGGAAGGGGCTCGGGGAGGGAGTTCCAGGGTCGGGGTCCTGTGTGGGGGAGGGAACAAGGGCCTGGAATTTGGGGATGCTGGAGCACCCTGCTGTCCGGCTTTTCCCAAGATGGGGTAACCAAGACAGGGGGAGGGGCAGAGCCCTTCCAGCGGGGTTCAGGATAGTGAGTCCCCCCAGGGAAGAGGTGGGGTCCTGATCAGGGTCGTCTTCTGCCTGTCACTGTCACTGAATGGTGATGATTTCCAGAAAACTGGAGCCGGGTCGGTGCAGTTGGTGTTAGTGAAGGGAAGAATCAGCTGCATCTGGGTTGTCACCCAATATTGAATGGGACGATAAGCATTTGCCTTCCAGTCCCCTATCTCTCCCTACCTCAGGCCCCTCATCATCCCCTCCTTTCCTTCTTTCTTTTGATGGGTTTAAGGCAGTGCATTCCTTAGTACAGAAAGCGGCTACCCAGTACTATGCAACTCAGTGTCTACATACAAGCTCCTCAGCGATTACTGAAGTGGCACAGGTTCGGGCTAGTTTTATTCGGAAAAATCTCCCTACCTGCCGAAGGAGAGAGATAGGACACAGTTTGCAAGCCAAAGCATTTTCAGGAGATGGTTTGTTAGGAGAAGCTAGCAGAAATCTTAGTTCCTAAAAATATTTGCCTTATCCCTGGACCTCAAAGCCTCTCTGAGTGGCTTTACTCAGTGTGGTCACATTTGTAGTAAGGAGGTGGGAGTGGCCTGTAGGCATGCAAATTGTACAAATTCAAGTACTGCATTTGTTCCAAGAGGCAGTTAATCAATTGACCTTATTTTAAGTGCAAGAGGTAGAGGCTTGAGAGGATCATAGGGTTCCTTGAAGAAATGGCCGTTGGGCAAGACCAGTACTTTACTAGCTCAGGGCTCCCATAATCTTCAAGGGCCAAGATTGCTACCACTTTCTTTTGGCTCAGGACTAGCTAGGACTCTTAGTGCTAGTCGTAGTCCAAGATGTTCCCGTTTTCGGTTGAATACAGACCTATTGAATTAAAGACACGGAAAAGCCAGTTTCTCAGCAATATGTCCAGTTTTTGCCTGGTGAGAGAGGGACCAGACAATGAACCTGCATCCCCGTGGAGTGTTTTGGCAAAGCTCTAATCCTCTCTGCCTTTGTGCCAGAGAATCCTTGCAGAGATGAATATTGTTAGCAGAGAGCCATTTTAGTCAAGGTCAATGACATGCTAACAGACTTTTGCCTAATTGCTTCTTTTGTAAAGAAGTATGGCTTTTAGAAGATTTAAAGGTGCATATTTTTTTCCTTTAGATAGAACAGCTGGATTTAGTGTGTTGAAACACCTGTGAATTTTTTCATTTCACTTATATTGCTAGAAATGATTTGCTGAACTTTAGGTGTTGATGCCTCAGGGGAATAATCACTCACAGAGTTACATATGAGAGGATTAAATGATATATCTGTACCTGTATAAGGCCTTGAAAGCAGAAAAGAATTCTTTGAAAGCATTATTTGGGAGTTAAAGTAGTTTCTGAGGACATATGTCTTGAACAATATAAATATAAATATTAATGTTGGGGTGGTAATATGAAAAAGGATATTTTACCTGCTATGGACCACATTGACTCAGGACAGTTAAGAGGTTCGTTCAGGAGTGAAATAAAAGGAATCACTCATAGGCATTCTAACATTTAACAATAGGAAGTTTAAAAAGATAGTCAGCAAGGATATAGCATCATTTCATTTCGGTGCAATGTGCCTATCTCTGTGTTGGCTATGCAGATGCACTAGTTAGAAGTGTGTGGCAAGCTTGTACTTCTCCTCTGGCTGTTGTACTTAGCCCACTAGGAGCTGTCAGTGACTAGAGTCTTAGTCCAATTAAGTACGGAGGACAGTTTCATTACCTTTTAGGGAGAAACTAACTTAGCCTATGTGATGGAGATTTTAGATTTTTACTCCTACCACATCTCACCCCTTGGTGGAAAGATCCTAAAAATATTTCAGGAGACCTTTCACAACTTAAATGATAGGACCTTTATTGAAAACTCCACTTCAGGGATGCAAAGCCTAGGAGAGGAAAAGAAATAAAGATGAGGAATGGAAAAACAAAAGATAGAAAGATTATCAGCAATGTAATGGCCCTTTGAAAGAGTGACATGGTATGAAGGAGTGAAGACCAGAAGTCCGAGGTTTCATCTCGCCTCTTTAGGGCAGAGTCCTGGATCTGGTACATGTCGTAGGTAACGCTAAATCGTTACAACTCACAGTAGGACTCATGATGGACAGTGGCAAGAGAAGCACCAAGAATATCAAGGGAATAGCTCAGATGATATTTTTGGCACAGTCACCAGTCCATATGATGGGTCAGGATCATTTGTATTAAGGTAGCTAAGAGGCCATCACACTCTTGCAGTTAGACTATTGTAGTATCAGAGTCAATGCCAAAACTCACTGTTATTCTGGGCCAGGCCTTAAGGAGGCTAGTGGAGTGATTAGGCTCACAGTTAGAATATAGTGATAGACTTGTAGACCACAAAATGCAATAAAAGTGACTTTATTAATGACAAAGAATATAATTCCTAAGGTTAAAAAGATGATAATTCATCTCCTCTCTCCTCTCCCACCGTATACACCATGCATTTACATTCTCCATGGAAATGGCCACACTAGGTCAGAAAGATATTCTTGCAGTACAGTGGGTATTCAACTAAAACTTCTTATGTTAAATACCCATTGGCTGAGCATTTTATGCCTCAGGTGGCAAGTAAGCCAAATGACCTCCCTGCTCCCTTAAAGGATCATTCCTGTCTGCATAAACAGGTGCTATTCCTACGACCTTTATCTTTACCACCGTTCTCTCTCTCTCTCTCTCTCTCTCTCTCTCTCTCTCTCTCTCTCTCTCTCTCTCTCTCTCTCTCACTCCCTATGTCTCCCAGCCCACTAGCCAGGACCTCTACCTCCCTGGGAATTCAGAGGGGGGAGTTACCAAATCTTTGTTCTTTTAGCCTAAGAGTCAGTAAATTATGGTCTGTGGGTCAGATGTGGCCCACAGGGTGCAGTTTGTTGACCTTTACTTTAGAAATCTGTGCTGTACACTTTTATCTTTCCCCTTTGTTGCCAGAAAGAAATGCACCTCACAACAATTTTACCCCTTGGTCTTCAAAGCCCCTCCTGAGAAGGAATTGTTCATTCACTACTGGGTACTATATTGGCAGCAAAACGGAAGGGCCTTATTAATTTCAGATTACAGTAAACAAAGGGGGTTCAGTGGGCCTGCCTGCTCTGGGGACCTCTCCGTTGCCCACTGTATTTTGGCCAAACACTGCCTATCTATTTATTCTCAGGCCTGAGAGCTCTGTAGGGCTGCTACCTCTATGTGATAGATTTTGAGTACTGTCCCTCCTGTACCAGGACTTGAATGCTACTGTGGGAACTGCCTCTGTCCTCCTGGGTAAGGGCCTAGAAATACCCAGTGCCAGGGTTTGCATGCCACAGTGGACAACATTTCTCCTTTGCTGGGCCAAGTGTTGCACCCTTATACTGGGGCTGCGCTACCAGCTCTCAGTGCCATAGACTGAGTGTTACTGCTCCTGGATGATCTACCACATAGGTAAGATTAGGAATAGCTACACAGGATGGCTCAGGCTACTACAAGGGATTCTAGCCAGTCAGATCAGGGCTTGTGCTCCTTTCTCTGTTAGTGGTTATCCTTTCTGGCAGCAGAATGAATGAATGAATGAATGAGTAATTTTTTTTCATTAGTTAGCTCTTACTAAAGGGTCCAGGAGCTGTTGATTTCTTAACTAATAACAAGGCAAGGAATTTCCATCTCAGGATTGCTCACCTGTACTCAGAGAAAGAGATACAAATCAAATAATACAGTCAGAAACTCCTCTAGGCTAGCACATGTCCTCTAGCTGCTATGTGCAAGCAGTTATCATTTTTACAAGAGTGGGAAAACGGTATCCAGGGCCTGTACTGGGGCTCACTGAGCAGTTAGTTACATTTCACAGGAACTAGAGGAAAGTTGTCTCTCCTTTTAAAGTGATGTAGCCACCTCCAATCCTCAGTTAACTAGCTTTGGTGCAATTAGCACATTTGTCCCTATCCTCACTTTTGAAAAGGTTCTTCAGGTTCAGAGGAGGATTAAGCACTGTTTTTTCAAGTGGCTCCCCCAGTGCCTTGTACCATAGAATTCCAGCAGAGTGCATGTGGTGCAATTCCCAGTGGCCTCCCAATTTCTATACAGAAAGTCCCAAACCACTCATTTAGCACAGTTCTTAAATAATCCCCAAACTCTAGTCTTCAGAGAGGGTCCAGGCTTACTACAATGTTTGGGTCTGGATATCACTATCACTCCCAAATTTAAAAAAAAATAGACAAATTCAACTAACAACAGTTTATAATATGTATCATCTTCAGAGTAGGGCTCTTAAAGATTCGAGTTCATTCATGTTTGTCTCTAGTTGCTGAATGCCTACAGATGGTTCACTCTCTAATTCTCCCAGGTCAGTGGGGTAGGCCTCATGGAATATGGCCAGCACATAGAAGCAATGCCTGAATCATGAAAGCCACAGGGTGTAGGGCTTTTGTGTAAAGGGCCTCTAATCACTCATGGCTCCCCTTCCTCTGAGTCACACTATTGCCAAATAGTCCACTATTGCCAAATGCCTGACTCAGTCCAGTTTGGTGGTTCAGGTTCAGATTCAGAATGAAATGAGACACTCATAGACTACCTAGCAGTTAACAAAAAGAAGGGTATTTAGCCATAGTATGGAAAGAATAGTCAAAAGATAGAGCATCGATTCATTTGGGCACAGCATCCCTGCCTCTGGGTTGGCCATGTTGGGTGCACTGGCCAAAATTGTGTGTCAGGCCACGGAGAAACGCCTGACTTCTGCTCTAGCTTTTTCATTTAAGCAACCAGGAAGCTATCTATGTCAATACCT